GACCATCAGTTACTTCTCTGCAGGGAGGGAATTTCCTTCTGCTCTAGTGGCTCTTCCTCCCTGGAGGCAGCTTATGCTCCATCTATTATCACAGAATCACAGAATGGTTTGGGGTTGGAAGGGACCTTAAAGCTCATCTCATTCCACCCTCTGCCGCTGGCAGGGACACCTTCCACTAGACCAGGTTGCTCCAAGCCCTGTCCAACATGGTTTTAGGCACTTCCAGGGTTGGGACAGCCATAGCTTCTCTGGGCAACCTGTGCCAGGGCTTCACCACTCTCACAGTGAAAAATTTATGCTGAATCTCTAATCTAAGACTACCCTTTAGCAGCTTAAGGCCATTCCCCTGTCCCTCCAGGCACTTGTTCCAAGTCCCTCTCCAGCTCTGTTGGAGCCTCTTTAGGCACTGGAAGGGGCTCTCAGGTCTCCCCGGAGCCTTCTCTTCTCCAGGTGAACACCCCCAGCTCTCCCAGCCTGGCTCCAGAGCAGAGGGGCTCCAGTCCTTGGAGCATCTCTGTGGCCCCATCTGGACTCGCTCCAGCAGCTCCATGTCCTTCTGATGTTGGACCCCAGAGCTGGAAGCAGCATTGCAGGTGGGGTCTCACCTGAGGGGGCAGAATCCCCCCGCTCCTCTGCTTCCCACGCTGTGGGATCAGCCCAGGGCACAGGGGATTTCTCGGTGCCAGCTCACACAACTTGGCATATCCAGCTCCTCCTCCACCAAGTCCTTCTCCTCAGGGCTGTGCTTAATCCATTCCCCCAGCCTGGATCTGTGCTTGGAATTGCCCTTGCCCAGAGGCAGGATGTTGCACTTCGGTCTTGTTGTCCTCAGAGGCACCTGCAGGGCCTCGCTCAGGCAGCAAGGCCACAGTCCTGTTATTTGATGCTCTCAGTCATTTGTTTTGTTCTTCTTGGCAGAAATCAGAAGGAAAATCGGCTGTTTTATTTGGGAGCAGGTGGATGTCCTTGAAGAAAAGGTAAGATGAGAAATTCATATTACACAGGATCAAGTCTCGTATAAACAGCTGGAGGCACAGCGACCACAAAATGGAGTTTTTAATACTACATAAAGTCAACAACAAAACCTCTACCCTGGATTTCCAGAGGGTTGACTTTGGTCTATTCAGGACACCAGCTTGGAAAGTCCCTTGGAAAGCTGACCTTAAAAACAAAGGGACCGATGAAAGCTGGACATTCCTTAAGATGGGCCTGGCTGAGCAGGAAGCTTTCACAGGAACTTAGGGGAAAAAAAGGAGGGTGTGTCATCTTGGGAAAAAGGAACACTCAGGAAGTGTTTAAGGAAGTAGTCAGATCAGGCAGAAAGAACGTTAGAGGCGAAAACTCGGTTATAACTTAGTCTGGCCATGTCTGTAAAGGATAATAAGTGTTTTTATAAATACACTAATAACAAAAGGAGGGCCAAGGAAAACCATGCCCAACTCACCATTCCAGGGACACTGATTGCCACAGGCAGAGCTCAACCCTTTGGTGCAGCATTTTCCCTCTAATTTGTGCCCCCTCTCCTTTCAAAGCAACTTCCCAGCACTTTTGAAGCAAAAATGTGCTTAGACCTAAAATGAAACTCTAAATTACACCTGAAATCACAAGCCCTAACAATTCCATTCTCCTGGAGCACTTCCCAGGTGCTCTGGGGGGACACACCAAGGGAACCATTTTAACTCAACCCTGTGCTGATTTTCACAGCCCAACGGAAATCCAACAGAGGAAGCGGAGGCGGTAAGAAATGGCTGCGAGGAAGAACCTGAGGGGGAAGCGCTAGACCTGGACAAGAGGTATTTTCCCACCCTGGATGGTGGATTTTGGACACGACCCCCCAAATTCCAAGCGATCCCAGTGCACAGGAACTAACACACAGAATGTTTTTTGCCCCCACCCTGATACAGCAGTGAAGAAACAGGCTCTGAAGCACCTTCCCAGGGGGAATTTCCATACCGTGCCCTCCAGAAATACCCAATGAATAACATGGTGACAGGTAAATATGCCTGGAAAAGCCTGTGGATGGAGGGGGGGAGCAGGGACCCCAGTGAGCCTGTTTTCCCTGGACAGGCTACACCTCCTCCCGGGACATGAAGAAATATGAAGGGGAGCTCCACGACTTCATCCCCGGCACGTCAGGCTACACGGCCTACTGGGTTCAAACCAAAATTAGCATTTACTGTGAGAGGAAGACCAAAATGAAGAGGAAATTGTAATGCATAGGTGGCTGGAGCAGCAAAAACTTCCCTATTTAAGAGCTGCCAGAGAGGATTTATAAATTATCTGACTGCAGCTCAACATGTTCAATGTGTATTCAAACACTTGTTAAATTTACTGCAAATATTTCAAGTATTTACTGCAAATATTTCAAGTACCTAAATTTCACAACAAACACAAATATAGACATTTCTTTCCAAAACACAAATCTTTTGTCATTTTATTCCTACCAGGAAGGGGGTTTAAGCTATGGCTGTGAACAGTTTTCCTTGGAAGGACACATCGAGGTCTCCTTGCTTTTATTTTATCAAGTAACTGTAAGACTCTTCCCTTTCATTTAAGCACTTAAAAGTGACCAGTGGGGTTATAAAAAGCAGCTTTAATTCTGGCACAGCCTGACCCTGGGCTGCCTGCTCAGGGAAGCACATGTTCCCACAAGCTCCAAGGAGCCACCATGGTCATTCTCTCCCATGGCCCCAAAAGCAGGAGAGCCTCTAAAATACCACTTTGATCCTCACACCCCAAGCAGCCAGAAAAGAACTCAAGAAGATGCCGCAAACAGGAAGGTGCTGAGTCCTCTGCACCTGAGAACCCGCCCTCCCTCATCCCCAGGGACACAGGTGTCCAAAGACCAGGCAGGCTGAGGTGGTTTCCTCACGTTTATTGGAAAAACGACACACAGGGATGGACTCAGAGCGCTCCTCGGGGCGTCTTGAAGTTCATCCCCACTGTGGGCTGTGTCACCTGCAGGTTGGACAGGCTGCCAAAGTCCTGGAAAACAACACGGGAACAACAGGATCAGCAACAGGACCCTGCCCAGTGACCACTGAGGGTGGGGAGCGAGAAGGTGCTGTGGCAGCACCATGGGGGAATTCAATGAGGGGGAGATCACCCCACTCCGGAGATCAGTACAATGGTGAGGGAATCCTTGGAGGGGAGGGCAAGGAGCACACCCACCCTGCCCATGGCAAAACCACCATGTCTCTCCCTCCCCTCCCAAAAGCCATATAGGAATTAATCTGCCCACAGGACCCAGGGTAGAGGGACCCCCACCATGTCCCCAGTGATGGAGCCTTTAGCCAACACGAGTGGGAGCAGTGCCAAGAACATGCCACTGACCATGCAGGGGATAACTGAGGCCACTCACCAGGAGCTTCAGCATTTCCTTGGTGTCTGGGTCCACTTCAATGATCTCCTGGTCAAGGGCAGAGACCTGGGGACGGAGGGGAGACAGAGATGTGGTTTGATAAAGCCCCACTACCCCCTGGGTGTCCCACAGCCACTCCGGTCCCATCCCAATACAGAAAGGATCTCTCTGCCCACTCTGGGGAAGGGCTCAAGCAGCAGAGCCAAGAGGACCCCAATGGAGCCCAGCTCTCTTGACAGAACATGGTGAGAAGTCACAGTATGAGAGAAGAGCCTGTTTTACGGCAAATCCTTGGAAAACCAAGGCCCAGTATGCTCCAGGCCAAGGCTGCTGAGGAGCTGGGGTTGGGCCCACAACTGCACCGGTTCTGGCCGTGACCAGAAGTAGCCCACAGTGTGTCCCACCTCCACACCTACACTCCTGCTCTTTAAACCCAGGAAAACTTCCTCCAGCCCTCTCTAGACCCCAAACCTCCATCGCCATGGGTTTCCTTCCCCAAGAGCTACATCACACCGGG